GATTTACTACCACCTGAAATATTGAAAGGCCATTAAAAATGCCACTAAAACAAGTTTTCATTGCAATAGGCTTTAAAGAAAAAAAAATCACCTCAGTAGGTATGTGTTCACTATCCTGTGAATGATAAGCCTTGAGAGTATTACTATTCGGCTAAGTACGTAGTTGTTGCCCAGTGATTGTTTATCTGCACTTCATGTCACAAAGCTATTCAGAATGAAAGCATTTCACACTGGGCAAAAAAAGTCAGGTCCAGGAAGCTATTCTACAGAGCAATGTCAAAGGGCCAAAGAAACCCCTGCTCCTCACCAGTAGTGCCATTCAGTGCCACTGAAGACAACCACTCATGAATGACAGAAAGAAAAAAAATTATCTCACAAGAAACAAAGCCACCATCCTCTGCAAAAAGATTTTTTCAGAATCTACTGACACAGTCTCTGCAGTATCCATGGTTATAGAAATTAGGATTTCTCTCTGCTTAGTGCTTAAACCCAGATCTCAAGCATGAAGATTTGTCCCTGGAGAAAGAACAGAAAATCTTCCTAATAGCAAGTCCATTAAAGTTTTTTAAGTCTAGGAGCCACTTTGATTTAGATACATAATAGGTGAAAACATTCAAGGTAATAGTCTTCTCTGTGTCATCTGTTCTTGCTGGTGGGTCACAACTGAAGCTGCTCAGCCACCTTTATTTCTTCCTTCCTGCATTCATCTTAGACCACCCTGATGTCAATTACCTCTTTCCAGATCTTTATTGTTCCTTCAGTGATGGCAGGTTTGGAGTTAGTAAATTACTGTTCAGGGACAAATTCTTGGACTCTCTACAGCTCCCTTTCTCTCTTCACCTCCAGCCCCCTTTTCCCATCACCTGCAGCAGTGTAGGCAGACCTCTCCAGAACACGAGATAATTTTTGACAAAACATCATCTGAAGAACAGAGTCTACAGGACATAATAAGGTCTAAACCGTGAAGCTATTAAAATAATGCAGTAACTACATGAATGCAGTATTACTGCATATAAAATTACATTCATAAATTTTCATTTTATCAAAACAGAAGCACATGCATTTGAATTTGTCTCTCAATATACTTGATTTTCCTATAATGGAGCAATTGTGGGTTTTTTAAAAAATATAAAGAAGCTTCTAATAGCAATTCACAGCTTCTTTTTAAACCCAGATTAACAATTCTTGCTACATAATTCTGGCCAAACTTCTAAAAACAACCAGTGAAGTAGTATTTTTCACTACAGACAAAAAAATAGCACTGACCACACTGACACAGATTAGAATGTGAAACATTTTAAGAAGGGTTACCTCAGATTCATCTGTTGATTCCTCGTTGGACCTCATTTCCTGAAAAGGAAACAAACAACAAAGGGCCAATTAACTAAGTACATACATAAATGAGCAGTATTTCCCTTTAAAAAGTACTTTTAAACTTAGAAGCAACTCAAAGTTCAGAGTTTTCATCCTTGTCATGCACACCCGATTTGTGCTTGCATTTGCATTTGAGTCACACTGATACTCAGGAGCATCAGGGACACTGCTGTCAGTTAGAATATGCCCCTGTGACAGCTTTTCCTCTTCCAGAAGCAGTAGCAAGTTCTGCAAAGAAACTGCCGATATTTTCCAAGGCAGAATAGCATTATCACGTTACTATAAACTGGCTATTTATAAACTAGCTTTGCTATTCAAAGCTATTCTCATGTTAATAGGCTTATTTTAAACTTCCATAATTTCAAACTATTTTCCATAGAAATCCGGCCTTCAATGACTTTCTCCTTCTCATCTCATGTTAATGCAAGATGTGGCTTTCTCCTGCCTTTGAAACAACTGTACCTTTAAAACATCTCTCTCTGGCAAGATAATGAATCCTAGTACCCTACAAAAAAAATTTTGTAAGTCAACTCCTGCTCACCTCTCATCTATCCACTGAGAAAATCTGCTGATGCAATGCTTCCTCAAAGAAGTCAGCAAAATGAAGATTTACTTAATGTATTTATCTTTATCAATAGCAATAAAAGATTACAGCTAATGCACAGGCAGTGAATGTAAGCATTTTAACAATAAAATATGATCTAAACAAAGAATAAGCCAGATAGAAGGCAGCATTTCAAAACTTATAAAGGAGTATTTGAAGAATAAGAGTAACAGGTACAGAGTTTCACCAGAGAAGCCCAAAAAAAAAAAAAATTACGCTCTTACCAACAGCTTGGAGAAAAATGGAAAAAAACCACAAAAGGAATAAAATTTAATGCACTGACAACCAGCATAATGTTTTGTTTCTCACATTTATTTATTTTCTGTGTTTATAAAATGCACTGATTGTGATCTGTACACCAAAAGCAAAGGCTTTCTTCCCATTAGTGGAGATTCACACTGATGCCCATAATGACTATCACAGCAGATGGGAGAGAAGCAAAACAGCACTTCTACTTGCTACTGGAAGCTTAGCACAAGGTGCTACCACGATTACTGACACCTGTTTCTTCCATTTTACTCACTGCTGCCAGGTCCATCTCCAAAATATTCATCCCATAGAAGGGTTATCTGAGTAGTCTACACTTGAGATGTGAGTTTGGAAACTCCAAGTAGGAAGTACATGGGAATCAAGGGAAGATGAAGAGGGAGTAAAATCCTGGCATCCTTTTAAATTTAGGTTTGATTTTGCAAGCACAACTGTTTGTCTGTCAGTCTCCCAGTCTCTAATCACAAACTGCTGTAACTTCCCAGGAAATTAAATTTTTATTACATAGAATCATTGTATATCTTAAACTCGACTCAACAATATCCACATAAGAACAGAACTAAAACACTGCGGTGTAACATTGCCAGATGATTGGATGACCTGAAACAACACACAGAGTCCAATGCAGTGTCTTCAGATTCCTAATAAAAAAACTTATTTTCTCTCCTGAATAGCAAGAGATGCCTACTCAACTCTTAATAAATCAAAATTACTAGCACTACTGTTATGATGTTTTGATCTAATTCACAGAGTTTGAAAAAAAAAACCCTCTGCAAAACAAGGAACTACAGTGACATTTTTGCTGCTTTACACGAGACTTTCTAGTGCAGCTACAGCACCTACATCCACTCCTCATGGTTCCAATTGGTTTGGCTACTTAGGGGAACAGAAATTTACTTCCAGGATGAGCTCAGTATCTAATACCATGCGGACATACCAACACAGTGCAGGGTGGAGTCAACAGCGCACTTACTGAGACAGCAGCTGGTTCTTATACCCACCTGAGTTGTTACGTGCAAAGGCATTCCTAGAGAATATTGATATACAAAATCAGGGCATACCACAAGTTGATTCCAATAATCAATCCATGTGAACCAAGAAAATATCAACCTATTTTTATTCAGAACATCTACCTGGCATCCCTACTGTATTCATAAGGCACCGCAACCCCAGACACTAAATTTCACAAACAGCATACAAATACAGGTAAATGCTTCCTGGCCTTTATGTTTTACTGTAGAAAATAGCCCTCAAAAATTTAGAGGGATACTTGGCTTAGGAAAGCAATACAGAAATTGTATTTGTTCCCTGACAAAAACTTAGCTGAAGATCCTTAGAATTGATACTTACATACTAACTCACTTTGCTTGCAACTTACTATGAAAAACTTTTTCTCTGGGTTCTCTCACTTGCTTAGGCAAAGTAGAACAGCAAATTGTAGTTACAATTGCCCTGGGATTTTGACAGGTTCTTTTCCTCTCCCTCCAAATGCACGAACTGAGAGGATTATCCTCCACTTCCACTTTTTAGTAGCCTTGTAATAATGAAAAGGAAATCCCTTAACAGGGATTTGTTTATACACAATCAAAATCCAAAATCATGTAGGACTAGCAGTCACTGCTAGTACTCAGACTCTAGGGGAAAATCAGCAGTATACTTCAGCTAGCTGACAGATGCTGTTGCTTAAGTAGGCCAAGAATGGAGTAGGAAAAGACAGATGAGGAAACCACAGAAATGTGAAGTAATCTCTCACCATTATAATCTCTCAATTAACAGATCCAACATAATTTCTCAATAAATTAAGTGGGCTTTCCAATATGATGTGTATAGGGCTTTCCCTTCCCATGCTTTTACAAACATCAAGTACATGTTTAGGCCCATAATTTAAACCTGACAAGGTGAAAGCCATGAAACTTGAGTTTCAAAGAAACATAATGTCCAACACTCTTATCCTTTTCAGCAGAGGTGTATAAGGGGCCCATAGGAAATTAACTGAAATGAATAAGGTAATGCTCCCACCATAGTCCAAAGAGAGAAAAACACAGGCTGGTTTAATCTCTTGTATTAGACAAGACCTGACAGAGTTGGTTGCATCCTTCCTAAGGCTGCCACAGTTAGAAACTCACCAATCCTAGGGAAAAAAAGCTCCCCCAAGGAAGTCAAGCCCTCCCAACAAACCTATGACAGCATGGAAGGTAGAAACCAGACGCCAATCTCTAATTTTGGCCAGTTACCTTGAAGTAATTCTAAAACTCCCCCCCCGCAATGCATCCAAGACAGACAAACATCGCACAACTCAGCTGTCTGTCCAGGTATTGGCTCAGCAAAGAAACATTAAGTAAGTACCTGAAAGGGCTGGGACTGCACTCGTTTTATTTTTTTCTTGGGAAGGAGCAACCTAGGCACGGGGAGCTTTAGCAGAACACCCTATTTAGGGAACAACAGGTCACCCTAGGTTTAGGAACAATAGCAACAATCTCAAATTTTGTCTCAGAAAAACGCTCCCCTGTTGAGATGAACTTGGTCATGTCACCCATGTCTCTTGGCAGAGAGACCCTCCAGCTCTTTAATCTTGGCTCCAAAGCGGCGCCAGATGCACTTCTAAGCCCTGCATCCCGGCCAGACCCAGGTTCCGCCGCTTCCATCTTCCCTCCTCCGCCCCGGTGCAGCGACGCTGTCCCGAGACCGGCCCCGCCAGCCCCGCACCCCGCAGGGCTGGCTGCTGGCCTCCGTCCCCTGGCACAGATGCCTCCGCCCCTCCGTTTGTATGTGCCACCCCAGCCCCACGCTTCCGCCGCCCCGCTCTAAAGCCACGCTCCTCGGCGCTGCGGCCACATAGCACCGACAACCTCTACCTTCTCCTCCGCTTCCGCCATGGCGCGGCCAGGCAGTTGTCATGTGAGGGGCAGGAAGCCGGCGAAGCCGAGGCACTCTGGGAAATGTAGTTTCGGAGGGGAGGGATGATTTCCTCTGGGGTTGGGGGGGTGTTGTTTGTTTGGTTTGGTTTTTGTTTTTCCCCTTTTTTTTTTGTTT